AGATTCCAAAATCACTAATACAACAAAAGCTTCCTTTACGAACTAGATAATTGTCGCGAAGCCAATAAACTCCTAAAACAGAATGCATTTTAAGTCAATTTCACTTATTCCAAAACAGAAACCTTCTGAAACTCCTCAAAATGCAAAATTTATTAACTACAAACCAATGCAATCATGCAACAACACCAGCATGCAACCCCTTTTCATCAACCAAGCCCACATTTCACACACACGCAGAAACACTCACATATCACCAGCATCATCAAGGGCAAGTGAATCTAACATGCAACTAGAATATAAGACTTGCATGAAGCTAATCAGAGTACCATGGGCCAAATTAACACAACCAAAACCACAAGCACTCCCATCATGGTGGCTCAGTCAGCAGTCAGTTACTCAACAGCAACCACAAGCTAACATAACTGAACCAATTGAAAAACCAAATAACCCAAAAATTTAAAAAGCCAATTTTCATCTTAAAGTTTCTACCCTTTAAAGAAATGAAACATGATTCTAGGAAAAAGGTCGAAAATGGTAAACTTTGATCCTTTAGAACATTACATCACAAAAGGTACTAAGTGTTCTCTACTAGATTGTAGTTAGATTATGATTTCTTCTGGATTCAAGATTTCAGTTCATGAATCGCATAGTTTCTCTAAATGAGAAAATATTTTAAAGCATGAATCGCATAGTAAAACATTTTGATGCACCCACAGCTGAAGATTTTGTTTCGAAGCATTTTTAGTATCCTTGTCCCCATCCAAACAATTAACAAAAAGGAATTAAAGCATGAGAATATCAAAGGGAACAAACTTTGTTTGCACTCTGCAAGGGAGCGACAGTCTTCTTTTTTATCATGCATCTCTTGTGGTTTACAGTTTTGAGATTTCTGGACTTGCAACTCTTGCGCTTTACAGTTTTGAGGTACCGAAACACCTCTGGCTTGGAATAGAAACTACATTCTGTTGAGGGATCAATGTAACACTGCAATAGGAATACAATTATATAAGAAATAAAGAGAAATGTGTATTGTTGGAGTCAACACATACTGAGAAAGATCCCTGAAAGTTTCTTCACAATCCATTATCAACATCAACAGTAAAGTTAAAGGAGTAATTCTGTAACATCTGATAGACCCGTTCATTTCCTTCTTGATATGAAAGACAAAAAAGTAGTTACAGGTATGGTTGAAGAAAGAAGATATTACAGTTTATTGTTGGAATAATTATGCCAGACATGGCTAAGAAACAAACAACTGCTAGAATTCTATCGTACTAAAATCTTGGCTAAGGATTTAATGAACTGTTCCCACTAAAGACAAGAGGCGCACCATACCTGACCAAGTTCAGTAATAAATCTTAGATGAAAAATCAATTTCAAAAGGGTTAAACGCCTAGAATCCTTTCAAAACCACTAAAACTGTCTTCTTAAACTTATTTCTAACCTATGCCATGAAAGGAATAAATCACTACTTGGTTAAAGTAAAAAGTTATCATCTTATATCAAATATAATGTTACCCATATATTGATTAAAGAAACTATAGCATTGTTATACAGCCAACCATGCCGGCATACTCTATGGGAAAATTTAGGACGGTATATATTTGATATATATTTTCCAATTAAATTGCAATGAGTAATTAATACAGTCGTAAATATTGAGCGATGACATATTGCAGATGCATGTCAAGGTGCCAGGCCAACCATGCATTTCGGAATACGAGCTAAATCTCAATTATTAACAACCAAGGAGTTCCTTGTAAAATTAAAAAGGAGGTAACCACTAGTGATGACTTTATAACAAAAGGGAAAAAAAGGTGACGAGTATAAATTCAAAAGATGACAACAGAAATATACAAAAACTATTATTCAAAAAGCACACAAAGATACCTTGTATTCTTTTCCAACATGCACACCAGTCTTTCGCGTTCTCACCTCCACTTTCCAACCCTTGGGTAACCATTCAGGATATTCCGTTGTGTTCACTACAAGCTGTCAATAGCAAACAAGATCCAATAATAGAAGAATCTAGAAAATGGTTTCGACAAAGCCCAAAAATAAAGACTCACTTGAGAAGGAATTTTTTCTGAGTGGTTCTGGTTGTGCAGAGTAGTTGGCTGAGGATTTCCACCATTGGTGCTTGCCATTTTGCTATGGCGCATAACATCATCCTTAGAATAGAAGTTTTTCCCAGTTTCCAAATTGGTATAAAACTGCAAATGTGAACGTGATTATGAGCTTAGTGATAGCACAATGACAGGATATTTTGATTCTAAACTTTCCGTTTTAGTTCACTAATATATTTCCTGTTTTAATACACGTCGACAGCAATTATTTATTCTGTTTCCAAGTTGACGTACTTTTCTAACTGTATTGCTCAATTAGGTCACTGGAAAGGAAAAGGAAAAGGTTAAAAATTGTTCCTCGGACATAGTGATAAGATTTCCATTTTGGTTCAGATTCCAACATTTCTCTCAGAACAGTCATTTTGCACCTGCTTCCAGTTCAAGAATTATGTCACACATCAACAGAGTAAATCACAAAAGAGAGTTTAGTGAGTCACAACTCACGCTACATCTAAACCAACTCTATACTGTCATTTATGTGCAGCAATATCAGTCAATAACACCTCATGCACCACCTACTGTCTAAATCTTATTATTACACTTATGCAGAGAGAAAGACATACAGATTCCAAAATCACTAATACAACAAAAGCTTCCTTTACGAACTAGATAATTGTCGCGAAGCCAATAAACTCCTAAAACAGAATGCATTTTAAGTCAATTTCACTTATTCCAAAACAGAAACCTTCTGAAACTCCTCAAAATGCAAAATTTATTAACTACAAACCAATGCAATCATGCAACAACACCAGCATGCAACCCCTTTTCATCAACCAAGCCCACATTTCACACACAGGCAGAAACACTCACATATCACCAGCATCATCAAGGGCAAGTGAATCTAACATGCAACTAGAATATAAGACTTGCATGAAGCTAATCAGAGTACCATGGGCCAAATTAACACAACCAAAACCACAAGCACTCCCATCATGGTGGCTCAGTCAGCAGTCAGTTACTCAACAGCAACCACAAGCTAACATAACTGAACCAATTGAAAAACCAAATAACCCAAAACCAAGATTGAGTGCTAGTAAACGAAACCCTAGAAGGCAGAAGCACGAAAGAGAAGAAAATGTTACCTCAATTTTGCGACCGGTCTTCTGCACTCTAAATTGGACGGCCCAGCCGGCGGGGAGCCAGTCCGGCGAGCTCTTGGCGACCATTTGGCCGGAATATGAAGCTTCCGGTGAGGAATCGACGGAATCTTAGAGGTGTTCGGCGATCAAAGTTTGGACCTTTGAGGCTCTCTTTGTGTTTTGGTTTGGTTTGTCTTGCCTTGCTTTCTCTCTCTAAGTAAACGGACGTGAAAGGTAAATGAGGATTAGCAACAAGTAAGACATATATTAGTGCTTGTGGATTGGACCGGAGTCAATCTGGGCACACGTGTTCGTGAACCATAAATCTCTCGCTTTCTCTCTCGCAGAAACACTCACATATCACCAGCATCATCAAGGGGCAAGTGAATCTAACATGCAACTAGAATATAAGACTTGCATGAAGCTAATCAGAGCACCATGGGCCAAATTAACACAACCAAAACCACAAGCACTCCCATCATGGTGGCTCAGTCAGCAGTCAGTTACTCAACAACAACCACAAGCTAACATAACTGAACCAATTGAAAAACCAAATAACCCAAAACCAAGATTGAGTGCTAGTAAATGAAACCCTAGAAGGCAGAAGCACGAAAGAGAAGAAAGTGTTACCTCAATTTTGCGACCGGTCTTCTGCACTCTAAATTGGACGGCCCAGCCGGCGGGGAGCCAGTCCGGCGAGCTCTTGGCGACCATTTGGCCGGAATATGAAGCTTCCGGTGAGGAATCGACGGAATCTTAGAGGTGTTCGGCGATCAAAGTTTGGACCTTTGAGGCTCTCTTTGTGTTTTGGTTTGGTTTGTCTTGCCTTGCTTTCTCTCTCTAAGTAAACGGACGTGAAAGGTAAATGAGGATTAGCAACAAGTAAGACATATATTAGTGCTTGTGGATTGGACCGGAGTCAATCTGGGCACACGTGTTCGTGAACCATAAATCTCTCGCTTTCTCTCTCTCTTCTGTCTTTGGGTTGGTCCAAGCTTAAGTAGCTTGCTAGATTAGGACGATACATTCGAGTTTCCAAAATACAATATTGTTTGTGTGTCCAAGACGAGCCATTGCTTTTATGACTCTACACTTTTAGTAGCGGTAATAAAACCCAAAAAGAAAAAAAAACCACCCATGGGTTGGTTTTGGATTTTTAGTCTTGGATGATGTGGTGCTCTCTGTGTTCGACTTTTTTTTTTTTTTTTTTTTTCTGGGTGCTGCAAAACGGCCAGAGAAAGGTTCAAGTCCCACTATTGCACGAGTTGTGAAGATAGTCCGTGTGATGAAGGTTTATCACAACTTCGAAGTTGCTGGAGTAGGAGGGGAGAATTTATCCTCTATACCAAAAATAGAAACATTAGTTGCATGTAAATGCATGTATAAAAAACAAGAATATATGAGGATTGTAGCTCAAGTAATTAAGAGTAGTTATCATTAGACAGAAGAGTGTTCGATTCCTTTCTAATTTATATCATTTATAGAAAAAAAGAAAAAACTTGGGGATGATATTTAAAATAAAACTGTATGGTAGCGGCATGTGTGTGTACAGAAGAAACATATACTTTTAAGCTTGTTATTTTTAGGATAAGATTTCATAAAAATGAATTAAATTTTAATTAAATTAGTTTATTATTCAGACAAATTAGATTGAATTTCGAACACCCATATTTGGGCCAGTAAAGTTGTAAATGCATGCTAGGCCCATTATCAAATCTTAACCCGGTTCAGTTGGCCCACTATTTATTTTTCTTTTCTTTTTCTTTTTCTGATGCCTTATTGTTTCACTATTTAAACAAAGTGGGTTATGGCAGGGGCTTTATTCTTTCACGCCCAACAAACAACGAACGAACGAACGCTACTCTATCAGCCTCCGATCGTCGATCTTCGACTCTCTCTCTCTTACCACAGCCAAGAGCAACGCCATCGCTGTAAACGTGAGTATGAAATTTCTATTTGTTTAATTTCTCATGAATCACTTACTGGGAATTGTGCATAATCCAAGAAATTTCAATTGGATTAGGTCTGCGTATGTTCATGGACACGGGAGAATTTTCTGACAAACGTAGAATTGTAGCAACTTTTTATCTACTTGGAGCTTGATCGCTCTCTAGATTTGTGCGGGGATGAAAGATTGGAAGTTTCTGATAAAAGCATGTTTACTAGCTTAAACTGATTAAATAAAGAGTTCCCAATTTGAAATCTTGTAGGAACTTGATTTTGAAGCAGTTTTTTATTTGTTTTTCCATATTGGTTGATAGATATGATGAATTCTAAGTAGACATTGTGATGTGGACATCCATGACAAACCTTTTAAGGTTTATCAACGAAGGGGGAAATGATCAGCCAATCCAACATTATCATTATGGTTGGGTTGAAATTTTAGTTTTCCAGATTTCACTAGGATTTATTTTCCAAGTTTCAGTAGGATTTCTAGTTCCCTAATTTATCTAGGTTAGAATTTCTGTTTTAGCAAGGGATTTTTATCCTATTATCTCTAGGTTTTGGTTTGCTATAAATACCCCTCCCATGTAATCCATTATGCAAAGTTGAGTTATTGAGTAAAGTTTATTTTCTAGAGATTGGAGAATTCTGGGGCCAAGGTCTGGTGTGAAGCCACATGAGTGATTCCAGACCTATTTTATTGTTCTATTTTCTGTTTTCCATTGTTTCGCTTACTCTAATCTACCCAAATCTATAATTCACCCATATCCTACATCACATTGTTAATTGCAGATGTCACTAAAAGAAAGCTTAGAAAGATTTAAGAAGCAGCAAGAGAAGTGCCAGACAACCCTTTCCAGCATTGCCTCTACCAAAGCTGCGGCAGCTCCAAGACCCGCTCCTGCAGCAGCTAGGGCTCCTCCTCCAGCTGTCAAATTTTCAAATGATACCGAGAGACTCCAACATATTAATAGCATCCGGAAAGGCCCTGTTGGAGCTCAGATCAAGCGTGTTATAGACCTGCTGTTGGAGGTTCAAACTAAACCCACATTTCCCATTCTTTCCTTGATGTAATTGATTATTATATTGTTTTATCAGTCACAATGGTTCATAATTAAGTGGTGTGTGCACTTTAAAGCCTGAAAGGAAATGACTTTGAGGTTCCCATAGTTGTAAACTTGTGTTTGTTTTGTGTTGGAGATATACACAGCAAGGAAAATTGTAGATGTATTTTTATATACAGATGCAAGTTGTGTTCATATTTTTATAATGATGTTGAACTCTTAGGTGAATATATACTATCCCACTTTAATAGTTTGGAACCAGTTTTGTTGTTAAAGATTTTGGATTCATGATGGGTTCAATTGGAGTAATCAGAAAGGGGCTAAAATTGGTAGCAAATCTGGAATTGAGTTGGAGTAGTTTTATGCTCTCCTGTTAACATCTTTTACTCTCCCTCCCTTCCCCTGCTAACTTTGCTAGGACCATCTAGTGACTATGAATTTCTGTGTTTGCATATTTTTGCAGACAAGGCAAGCCTTTACGCCGGAGCAAATTAATGAAGCATGTTATGTTGATGCGAATGCTAACAAAGCTGTCTTTGACAGTCTGAGGAATAACCCAAAAGTTTATTATGATGGGAGACGCTTCTCTTATAAGGTAACTTTGGATTGTATCCACCTGCATGCTACAGTAGACTAGCATGTGTTTTATCAATTGAAGTATTGATAGCAGTTTTGTTTATCACATCCATGAAGGATGTATTTTTACTTGTATTTTTTTATATGTAGTCCAAGCATAATGTCACGGATAAAAACCAGCTTCGTTCTTTAATACGGAAATATCCAGAGGGCATAGCTGTCATTGATCTCAAGGATGCATACCCGAATGTGATGGACGATTTGCAGGTAAATGATTATTAACTAAATAAATTTCTGAATTACTATGTCTCTTACAATAAAATATTAATAAGGAAAATTATTTTTAGGCTTTGAAAGCTGCAGGTGACATCTGGCTGCTTTCAAACTTTGATTCACAAGAGGACATAGCATATCCAAATGACCCCAGGTTGCCTGCGATGAATGTTGATGATGAGCTTAAGGTGCTCTTTAGGTCGATTGAATTACCTCGTGATATGATTGACATCGAGAAAGAACTCCAGAAGAATGGGATTAAGCCGGCCACGGATACTGCAAAGAGGAGGGCCTTGGCACAGAGTCAAGGCATTCCTAACAAAGCCAAACCCAAGAAGAAGAAGCATGAGATCAGCAAGAGGACAAAGCTTACAAACGCCCATCTTCCGGAGCTATTTTCCAGACCCTAAAAAGTTAGGTGAAGCTGCTATGTCTGCAAGATGTTATGGATGTATGCAGATTGTACAAAACATATTGGAAGACAGATAAGATAGCCCAAAAAATGTACTTGAAATATCCGCTATGTTTTTGGCTCCGAAATGCCAGTTTGAGGATTAAATTTGTTCTTATCAAATGCTTTGATATAGGAACCTGAAATTTCTACTCCTGCGTTTCAGTTAGTTCATACATTTCAGCATTCAATTTCATGCAAGCCACACAGCCAAAAGACTGGAATGTTTTTTTTTTTTTTTTTTTTTTTTTTCTTTCTATTTTTATGATTGTTAAGTCCAATATCACACAACTTATTTTAAGAAAATGTGAATTCGTATTTACACAAGAGGGTATTTTGGTAAATGTGGATAACCAAGCGCCAATTTAAAAGTTCGGTTTTTTTTCCTTGTCCACCCATTTTATACTGGAGGAGATCGTCCCCCTTATTTTGATCGATAAGTAAGGACCCTCAACTATGTCTCTTTGTCCCAGGCACGGTCTCGGGATTAAAAATGACTAGGCTAACTTTCATGCCAATTTTTTCAGTCGAAAAGTTTTTATTGAAATTTCGATGGAGTCTATTTTGTTTTTATGATACTTCCCAAATTGTATATAACAAGCATATCAACCAAAGAAATATACCATCAAATCAAATATGTGGAATCATGAAATTTTATACCTCTAATATTGAAGGCATTTTCGTAAGGAGAGTATAGATTTTTTCGGTGTATTTTTCTAATTTTTAATTAAATTTTTTCAAAATTTTTAAGATAAACAACAAAAATGTAAGAAAGAGGACATGCGGTGGTGTCATAGGCAATGGCAGATTTAGGAATTCTTCAGGGAAGAGGCAATATTCGAATGAGGATTTTATTTTATTTTTTATACTATAACGGTATAAAATTAAAACATATAAGCAGTGGCGGATCCAGGAATTTTCCTTGCAGGGGTCAACATCTAAAAGGTAAAAAAATTCTATACAAAATAGAAAAAAAAACTATAATATTATAATTCTTAATTAATAGAAAAAATCACATTACAATTGTCCACATAAAATAATAAAAAATAAAAAAACAACAACAATATTCAACCACACCATTCACTTTTAAAGTAAAGAAATCAAAGCTTCATTTTCCATAGCAGGAGACTTTAATTTGGTCCTCTCGATATCTTCTATTGGGTTTTCACGCACTGCTCCATATATTCGATCAAAAGCTTTATATATGGTCAAAAACTTTTTATATATGATCAAAAGCTTAATATGTTAACTTGTTTTTTAATGAGGTAATATTTTCATTATTATATTTTAATAATGTCTGCTTGCTTGCTTAATGAAAAAAAAACTATCCTATTTTCTTATATAAAAAACTATTTTGTTAACAATTTATAAATTTTAAAAATCCAAATTTCATGGCCGGAAATCAATATCCTTCGTCAAGGCAATGAATTTGAAAACTCCAAATTCCATGGCCGGAAAAAAACTATCCCATTTTCTTGGATGCACTACACAAGGCAATGAATTTCATTGCTGCTGTGCTCTATCCTTCGTCGTTTTTCTATATAGGAGAAGTACTGGTAAGATTACAAGGAAACTAATTTAAAACTCAGCTTATGCAGGGCTTACTTTACATATAGAAGCTCTGGCTTTTCCTAAAGAGAAATATAATTTGGATCAGTTAAAAACCAAAACTTATAACCAAGTTCGGTGTTTCAAAATCCCTTCATTTGTTTCCATCTTCACGTTTTAAAAAGGTGGGGGCAAGCAGCTTCTCCAATAAGTATCCCCTTCTTTTAAATTAACCCCTTACTGTGCGTTTTTTTTTTAAAAAAAAAAAAACCTGAGCCAAAACGACGTCGTTTTGGCCAGGTCTTTAAAAAAACCACTTAAGTGGAACGACATCGTTTTGACATCAGGATAAAAAAAAACAAAAATTGAAGCTCGCTGGGCAACAAGCAAGCTTGCTTGCTCTTGGCTATAGCTGCTCCCTCTTTGGGGCATTTCATCAAACACCTTCTGGGCATTTGCAGGGGTCAAGTTTTTGGGTTCCTATGGCGGATTCCGAGCTTGCGGGGGTCAATTGACCCCTCTTGACCCTATGTGGATCCGCCACTGCTCCCATACTACATAGTTAGGTAAATAAAACTAACTTGAGTGGAGGGTCCTGAATTTGAATAAAATGCATATAACATCATCAATTAATCTAAAAAAAATTATTATTAATTAATTTAATAAATATGCATATCAAATTATCAATTAAATAAACAAATCATAATTGATCATACCTAGTCGTGTGCCGCGTACCCTCTTCCTCCTCGAGTTTGCTACTGATTATACAAATACATAGAGTGCCAAATCAGAAAAATAAAATAAAAAAACATATTATAAAAACCTGAAGAAAAAAAAATGATTTAAAAAAAAAAAAAAAGAGATAAAATATGAATACATAGTTTGCTACCGATTGGGACTGTTGGCTGCTGCAAGAGTCTCAATGTAAGGAGGCTTCTTTAATTCAATTCATTTTGCAATTTGGACTCCGCTTTTTATTAATGGTACTAGGTTCTACAGGGGAGGTTTTACAAAGGGATTAATGGCAGCAGGTTCTACGGTGGAGGTTTTACAATGGGATAAACTTAGAAAACAAAGTCGTAATAGGAAAGGTTCTCTGCTTTGTATTAACGGCAACAGGTCGTATTATGGCTTCTTATGGCAAGTTTCATCTTTCTTTATTTTTTGTTTTTTTTGCCCTGGTCCAAAATGACTTCGTTTTGGCTAGAAATTTTAAAAAAATATTATGGTGCGGGCGCTGTGCTGTGCATAGCAGCCCAGCAACACACGCACAACAAACAGAAAGGAGTTTTGCTTAGGCATTTCATCGAGCAGTTGGCGGGCACTTCCATGGCAGACCAAAGGGGCAAAAACTGTGACCTCCAAAGTGTTTTCCGGCAAGGGGAGGTGAAGCTGCACCTCCTTGCGCCTCTATGGGTCCACCAGTGGTCGTAGGGTGACACAAGTCAAATATACTGACAGCACACCAGTCATAAATTGTCACGTGTCAATAATTTCAATTTAATATAAATTTTTCAATAATTTAACTTCTAAAATTCATAAGAAATATATTAAAAAATCATAAAAATACACTATGAACTCCTTATCACATTCTATTCGCCCAAAAGCTCTAAAAAGCTTATTTTGACTTAGAAAAATTAAAAGTGACAACAAAATCTCAAAGAACAAATAAAAACCTAAACCCATATAAGGACACTTCAAATTTGTTTCTATAAATATTGAAACTAGCAAATTAATCTATATATATAAAGCAAAAGTAGAGAATGCTGAAACATTCAAAATACCAGAAAATGCCCTTGGTTAATCTAAAAATTTAGAATTAAAATGATTAATTAAATGAGGATAATATGGTAAATTCACACTTTTTCATATTAAAAAAAATAATAAAAATAAAATAATAAAATAATGAATCCTATTATTATGGAACACAACTATCCATTATCTTTTTTAATTTGAAAATAAATTTAAATTTGTTTTTTAAAAAAAAGCCTCTCCCAGGCGCGGAAGTGCGTGTGGAGAGGCTAGTGACTCATAAGCCAAATTACTTTTCCTACCTTATAATAACACAA